TTCTTTTCCCAAAAATAATGCGCTATCTCATAATTACACTAACCTCAATTTCTTGGACGAAAAACAAAATTTTCCGTTTTGTGAACAGATATAATAAAAAAAGTGCAACATCCACACACAAGAAGTTCTTTTCGGCAGCGTCTACTGGCGTAGGAAATGGCTCGGATATGAACAAACGCTGGATTTCGCCCATTTTCGCCTCTATTTTCTCCCAGTAGTCTGATCTGAACTGAACTCAATTCTAGTAAACAGCATTTTGCACTTCAGCTCAACCCAATGAACTTAATAAACAACCTCAAATGTGTGGTAAAGTTCCCAATTCCCAACTTTTCATCAGATATGTAATCTACTGTAAGTCAACAAGACCTGAAGCCCTAATCTGGCAACTTATAGATGCCTGCATTCTCCCCCTCATTCTTTACTGCTCTCAGTTATTTTTCCAGCCTTGCTTAAAAAAGACTTGTTGAGGTGTAAACATATACTCCAAATACTCTCTTCAGCTGTCGCTGTTTCTTATGTTTGCTTGGCTGAGATTATAATGCAGCGACACTTTAAGACGGTCAACCAACTTGCTGCTCGCATTCTTGATGAGGTTGCGCATCCACGCCACTCTGAACTAATGGCTGTGAAGTCTTTCCGTACTACGTGCCGAAACTTCCGACATATGCCCTACCGTACGTCGACATATCAGCACTCTGTACTCCCATTCTTAGCAAGCTACCTTACGGGTAAAGAAATGTAAATGCAAAAGCTAAGATCAGACCTGTCCCCATAAAAGATGTGGATTTTACCTAAACCTCTAGGTTTTGAGTCTTTTGTTAATTTATCCCTTAGTCCAGGTGAATCGAGTCATTTCTTGCTGAAAATTTTGAAGGCCACCTTCAAAATAAAGCGTATCTCCCCTCTCTCTCTCGCTTTCAAAAGTCTCCGTGTCGCCACAAGACATCCTCAGCAAGGGACTTGGCCGGTCTGACCTCCGAAAATCATTTGCTGCATAGTTTCGTGGGACATTGACATCAGTCTAGTCCCACCATCTCTGGCTGACTGATCCACTGCAGCAACCAAGCCCTTGCGGGCAGAACTGCCCTCCAACCGACACTCCGTTGTCCGTTTTTGCTGAAGCCTCCAATTTTCGCTATAGGTGCGGCCTTCCAGCAAGGCCAGTTTGTCCTGCAAAATCGAACTCCGCAAAATCTCTGTACCTCTTTTAACAGTGAACTCACTCCTTACCATTTATCTAGCATTTAAATTTTCGTAACTGTAGCATTTGTATTCATGCTAAGCCCAAACCATCCCGTCCACTCCCTTTTACAAATATACCCCCCCCCCTCGCCCCAAGAGACCTGCCACATAGTATTACCGGCAAAGACAAGGGAGACTGGGAGACAAGGGAGATATGCCATATTCGGTGTCATAACGGCCGTTCTAATCAAATCGCCGACTGTCTTGTCCGATCTGGAAGTAATGTCCTGGCCAGCCGTTCTATCCGCTTTGAGCGCATGGCGCAAATGCAGCACTGGCCGAATTTTGCTTAACACCTTCGAAATACCAATCTGTCCATCACCCCCGCTGCGACCCTATGTGACATTTCGCACGGTTTCTCTCGACCGCGAGAAGGTAAGAGATGTTTCCACCGCGTTGCACAATCTTGCTCATCCTAGCAATACACTGCCTCTCCAGCGACCGTTTCACCTGCCAGGATACGAACACCGATATCCGCCAATGTATTCGCTCATATCGGGTTTACCAGTAAGCCAAAATCTATTGGCACAACGAAGCTCTACTTGGCACGTTTTGCAGATGTACACATAAATCTGAAAGGTTCTTTACAAACACCTTCTGATTGCCGTTATGTTCTAAATCAAACTGGTCCATTTACGCGGTGGTCCGGCGCAATTCCCATTGCAAATATATATTCGCTTTCCAGTGATGATAACCATGTAAGTAGTCAGGAAATCAATTTAGGCGAACGAACGCTTTCGATTGATTTATCATCAGGCAAATACAATAATATAAGGGAGGATTGAGTTAATAAAAGTTCAAGCGACCAATCAAGGGTAATTAATCGATAGAAACATGAACTAATTGTTGGATCCATTCCCTCTTGCCCCTTTGGTCCCTAATCATAATTATAATCTGACCTTAACACCTCTCTCCCTCCTTCCTTATTATTACTGATTGGCAAGTATATATAATAGCTGCAGATACTGTTGTTTACGCCCTTCCGGAATACAGGGCCTCTCAGTCCTGTGTTCCCTCAACTATTACCATCGACCGGGGCCTGAACCTTGTATCTAAACTTTTTACTAGCCTTTCAGACCCCCTTGAATGTTTTCGCATGCACACGACGGTCTCAGCAAACTACCGGCGAGCTTTTCCATCGTCGACTCATAACCTCGTTTCGGTCTTATGAATACCGCACTCATCACAGCGAACAGATGCTCCGGGTTAGTATCCGTAAAGTGCTCACCTTCGAGTTGGAGTGCTCTGCAGCCAAACTTGTTTGCGGCACTACCCTGCAAATGAACGGGCCTCTTGGGCCTTAAGTATGCAATTTATTTATTTATCTCCTGTGATCTTTTCGGATGCCCTCCGTCTGTGGGCTTATTTTAATACCGCCTTGGTGGCTGGGGGCTTTTTGAGCAGTTTTTTCATAGTGAATTATATTAGGTATATGACGGCTAATAAGCCAGAAATGGCCATTCCGATCTCCCTTTGCTTTCATCATATCATCTGGTCACCATGTGACGGTCTGGAGGA